ATGTAATTTACATAAACATAGATACATCACCGAGGACGATGTAATTTACATAAACATAGATGAATCACCGTGGACGATGTCATTTACATAATCATAGATACAATACCGAGGACGATGTCATTTACATAAACATAGATACAACACCGAGGACGATGTAATTTACATAATCATAGATACAACACCGAGGACGATGTAATTTACATTAACAAAGATGAATCACCGTGGAGGATGTAATTTACATAAACATAGATACATCACCGAGGACGATGTAATTTACATAAACATAGATATATCACCGAGGACGATGAAATTTACATAAACATAGATACAAAACCGAGGACGATGTCATTTACATAAACATAGATACAATACCGAGGACGATGTAATTTACATTAACATAGATACAACACCGAGGACGATGTAATTTACATAATCATAGATACAACACCGAGGACGATGGCATTTACATAAACATAGATACAACACCGAGGACAATGTAATTTACATTAACATAGATACAACACCGAGGACGATGAAATTTACATAAACATAGGTACAACACCGAGGACGATGTAATTTCCATAAACATAGCTACATCACCGAGGACGAGTTTATTAACATAAACATAGAGCCAACACCGAGGACAAAGTAATTTACATAAACATAGATACAATACCGAGGCCGATGTAATTTACATAAACATAGATACAACACCGAGAACGATGTAATTTACATTAACATAGATACATCACCGAGGACGATGCAATTAACATTAACATAGATACAACACCGAGGACAATGTAATTTACATAAACATAGATACATCACCGAGGACGATGTAATTTACATAAACATAGACATATCACCGAGGACGATGTAATTAACATAAACATAGATACAACACCGAGGACAATGTAATTTACATAAACATAGATACATTACCGAGGATGATGTAATTTCCATAAACATAGATACATAACCGAGGACGATGTAATTTACATAAACATAGATGAATCACCGTGGACGATTTAATTTACATAATCATAGATACAATACCGAGGACGATGTCATTTACATAAACATAGATACAACACCGAGGACAATGTAATTTACATTAACATAGATACAACACCGAGGACGATGTAATTTACATTAACAAAGATGAATCACCGTGGAGGATGTAATTTACATCAACATAGATACATCACCGTGGACGATGTAATTTACATAAACATAGATACATCACCGAGGATGATGTTATTTACATAAACATAGATACAACACCGAGGACAATGTAATTTACATTAACATAGATACAACACCGAGGACGATGTAATTTACATTTACATAGATACATCACCGAGGACGATGCAATTAACATTAACATAGATACAACACCGAGGACAATGTAATTTACATAAACATAGATACATTACCGAGGATGATGTAATTTCCATAAACATAGATACATCACCGAGGACGATGTAATTTCCATAAACATAGCTACATCACCGAGGACGAGTTTATTAACATAAACATAGAGCCAACACCGAGGACAAAGTAATTTACATAAACATAGATACAATACCGAGGCCGATGTAATTTACATAAACATAGATATATCACCGAGGACGATGAAATTTACATAAACATAGGTACAACACCGAGGACGATGTAATTTCCATAAACATAGATACATCACCGAGGACGATGTAATTAACATAAACATAGGTACATCACCGAGGACGATGTAATTTCCATAAACATAGATACATCACCGAGGACGAGTTTATTAACATAAACATAGAGACAACACCGAGGACAAAGTAATTTACATAAACATAGATACAATACCGAGGACGATGTAATTTACATTAACATAGATACAACACCGAGGACGATGTAATTTACATAAACATAGGTACAACACCGAGGACAATGTAATTTCCATAAACATAGATACATCACCGAGGATGATGTCATTTACATAAACATAGATACAACACCGAGGACAATGTAATTTACATAAACATAGATACATTACCGAGGATGATGTAATTTC